AATGCCCCAGCGGGGGCCATGGCGCCCGTGGGCACCGCGTTGGGGACCACTGCTATAGCATTTTCAGAATAATGTGATTAGTCCACGATAGCAGCAGCTATTATAGTGGTTACTGCTTCAAAACTGGTTGGACCCCTCAGTTATAAGGGAAAACATTTCTTGGATTCTGCCATATTGCTTTTTGAAAGCTATCGCAACAAACATTCTGTGTTTACGTGATGAGTGGCAATTGTTAACTGTCCTTTCGTTTTACATTGAGACATAAAATATCTTTGCCAATATAATGCATGCTTTGTGTGCATATATTAATTTGTAGTTTATGTAAAAGAATACTTTCTTAAGATTTCAGCACAGCAGATTTTTTTTTTAAGTTTAATGTAGGATTTTGTTTCATTTATTTTTATTTTTTTTTATTTTTTAGGAAAGCAGTTAAAAGATGGGAAGAAGCCGGAACCTTGCAAACCAATCCTTAAAGTAGAATACAAAACAGCCAAAGCTGGGTAAGACTTTGCTTATGAGTCAGTTGACTTTTCACACTATATAGGGTATGTATAGTCTTTAAGAATATCCTTTGTATCTTTCCACTTGTGTGACATGTACCCCACGTTGAGAATCTCTGGAAAGTTGTGGTAAATGAAACTTTTGTTACTGGTGGATAAAACATAGTCATTATTCTAGAACAGGAGTGGCCAACCTGCAACTGTTGAGCTGCATGGAGCTCTTTGCTTAAGGAACTGTAGCTCTTGCTAGTTCTAAACCACGCCCCAGTGCCTGCTCATGGCCGGCCGCTCTGGAGGGTGAAATGCGTGGCGGCAGCTCTGGGACCCAGGCATTGGGTTAGAGCGAGAGAGGGAGAGCAGGGGGTTCCTGGCTCGGGGGAGGGGGTAGGGGGTTGGGTTGGGTGGGAGCCGGGGGGGCCTGGCTCTGTGGGAGGGATGGTGCATTGGGTTGGGGGCGAGAGGGGGCTGAAGAACCTTAAACTCAGTCTTCATGGATGCAGAATAAGGCAGCTGACACAGATGTCATATTTAAATTCCAGGGCAAAAAAACAACAACAAAAAAAAAGAATCAACATGTACGTGGTTTACACTGTTTCTTTAAAGAAAATTCAAAGGCTGTTATTTGCCAGACTGAAGCAATTATTCTGAGATATGAGTCTTTCCCTTTTTGTTTTTGAACCTGTCATGTTTGCAGTCTGGGACAGACCTGAATTTTTAAAATTATAAAAAAGACATAATCTTCATAAGTAACAAAAATGTGGAAATCATACCAGAGATCAATAAGATGGAGTGAAACCGGCACTTCAGATTATGCTAATTTACTTCTCAGTTCAGTTTAATTTAAAAAAATTCACGGGACATAATAGGTCAGTAATGTTAAATTTAAAATACATGGTAGGGATTCTTTTTTTTTATTAGTGTGAGAATATTACTGTATTTTTAAAGGGTTGTTTTTTTATTTGATGTTTGTTCCCTGTCAAGTTCTCTGAAGATCTATGGACTGGCAGTGAATATTTTAAGTGACTAGAGACTTTTTTATTGGCTTTTGTCCATTTGTCCTGTAATGTTATTTTTATCATGACATTTTATGTACTATATCTATATAGATATATAAAAATAAATATATAATACATGGCTCTTCGGACTCTATCCACAGCTATTTTGACTCGGTCTTTAACTGGTTGGCCACCCCTGCTCTAGAATGTATATGTGTGATTAAAATAGGTAAACAAAACATGTTGATGAATGCTCCATATCTATATGTTCCTTCCTTAAAATCAAAGAGCTAACAAAAATATTAAAATATAATAAAATAGTGTGTTGCTGTTTTTTTAAAATCTTTGTTTTTTACTTGCCACTTTTAGTTATACTAAGGAGAAACTGATAATTTGGCTGACCATTAAGTACATTTCAGTGCTAAGTTTTTCAGGAAATCTATTTATTTCTTTTAAGAATTAAACTTACTTTATCTAGTAATAAGACCTATCAGTCTTTTTTAGTGAAGCAATATGAGTTTGGAGTATGGCTGAATTCTTTTCATATGCTGCAGTAATTTATGAAATGAACTTCACATAATTATGCATATTCTTGAATATACACAATAAAGCTGTAATTCTAGCAAAGGGTTCTGATGAAATTACTGCATATTGAGTAGCATGTTCTTGTCACTAGAACTTAATGGAAGGCTTTCATCTTTTTATATACCATGTGTGGTTTCTTATTTACAGTTGTAAAGCGTTTTGATCATAATTTACATGGAAATCCTTGGAGCTATTTGCAGATGTTGAATTTTCAAATAACACTCTCCATTTCATTTCTGTTGACTTATTGCTATACCTTTTATTATTTGGCATTTATGTGTTGCTTGAATGATTGCAAAGTAAACAAGAGTACTGAAAATTGTTGATAGTTTAACAAATGCTTCAATATGTATGAATGTTTTCTACAGTTAATTTTAACAGTTTTGTGTACCATTTTTCCTTCTTTAAAAGTCAACTAAATGGAGATTTAAAGTTTTGAAGCCAATTCCCAGGTGTTTCCTTTCCACAAAGAGTAAAAACAATGAATGATCATGAAATCATGATATTTCAAAACCTGAATATTCAACTGTTGTGTCCAAGCTTTTGAATCAAATTGTGCTGTAAATAACTGAAAAGCAGCCTCATACAAGCAGCAAGATACAAATACTGCAATTTGAAGTGTTCCCACTGCAACCAGTAATTTTAAAATGTAATTTCAAACCTCCACAATGTAAAAATTGTTTTTACAGCATGCAAACTTTAATTGATTTTGATAGGGTATAAACAAGGTAAGAGTTGCAATAAAAGAAGCTTGAGTGTGAACAATCTGTCTTGTTAGTACAGCTTTTCAACTGTGTGTATTTATTTTTTTAAGATGCATTATTTTGTGTGGGTTTTTTTCATTATTTTGTTTGTCTCTACTTGTACCTTTATTTTTTACCTTAAACTGTCATTTGATGTTATTTTTCATGCTTGATGGTGTTCAGAATATTTTCAAGTTTTTAGCATTTGAAATGTCATTAATGTGATAACACTGTCTTCCAGATCAAAGATAGAGAAGTTAAATACAACCTGGCAGCTATTAATATGTTTAAAAGGCACAAGCGCAGTGGTGGGGACTGGGTATAAGCCGGGAATCAGCTGATTCCCAGCTTGCGCCCTGTGCCCCACTCCACCTCTACCTCCCCTGCTTCCCACGAAGGTAGTGCTGGGGGGAACTAGCTTTCAAGCTGGCTCCTGCTTCCACCAACTCCTGCTACTCCTCCCCCCTCTTTCTGTCTGAAAGCGACCAATTGAGTCAATGGTCGACTAGTCACTTTACAATCCTACTCCAAATTGCATAATGCAGTCTTAGGTTCCTTATTATTAGTTTCCATTAAATTTTTAAAGAAAATTGCTTAGATTTATACAATGATTTATAGCAAAAGGTGCCAAAAGTATTTATAAATTTAAATAGTGTGTAAATGTATAAGGACTACTTAAACTGTCTCTGTAGTAGAACAGCTTTTGAGGTAAACCATGAATTTATAACAGTTCACAGTAATCCTGCATAGCAGTGATTCCACAATGTAAAAAACTTATTTCTAACTGAAACTTCAGGAGAAAATTAGGTAAGCAGAATGTAATTACCCAACCTAGTTCACAGTCATCTAAAATAATTTCCAGAATGATTTGTAAAAGATTGTTCACAGCAGTCATGCATCTCAAGTATGTAATCATGCATACTTGACTTTTACATTATTGTATATCTCAATTATATGTTCCTATTCAAAGTGCGTAATTAGCAAACAATTATATTGCACTGTGTCATTTCAATATTAGGACTTGCTGTTAATAGTAAACTTTTGATTTACATTCACTGAAATTTGTAAAGTAATGCAATAAAACCCTGGAATAGTCTTACTTTTGACAGTGCTTTTTCTAACCTCAACATTGTTGTAACACATTTTACATTGACTCCCTTTTACTCATATTGGAGCTATATTAGTGTCATCCTTTCTAGATAGTTAAATACTTTAAAACTATTTTATTTTTCTCCTTTGTTTGAGTCAGTTATGGAATAGAAATATATTTGATGGAATCTCTGGATAATGTTGTCAATTGTACAGTTATTTTGGTTTACCCTCAATAAAATATAGCCATTACCCTCAAATTTACCTCAGAAATGAAATCCGCAGAAAATATGGTACCAACATGCAACATTCATTATGAAATGATAGGTGTTATAGCTAGAGCTGAAGTTGTCTTGATTGTTCAATTACTTTTCATTTTCTTTGTAGTGGTGTGAAAACTAAAGCTATGTCTACACTAGTAAGTTTGTCCACTAAGGATATGAAAAAAAATACATAAGTTTCACCGACACATGTGGTGCAGCTGTGCTGCTGTACGGTCTGTAGTGTAGACATAGTCTAACAATTACATATCTATATGCATAACAGGAGTTGTCCAGTTCATACACAAGCTCAGAATCTTTCTGCTGTGTATAGACCTGTAGGTGTAATGGTAAGTAAGTGACTTCTGCCACTTTTGCTGCCTTCTGCACAAACTCTCAGTTGCGAAAGCAGCTGCCACATTTCTTTTGCACTGGCTTCAATTTCTGGATGACATTAACTGGATGTGTGTAAAGTACATTTCATGAATTTAATCTTGAGATAGCAAAAGTATGGATGACAGTACTAGGGTCCCTCTCTGAAAAGAGTGGTCATGTCCTTGCCTTCTGCTTGTATGGGGCTGCAGAGTTAATACGGTGGCTTGTGCTACCTAATCTTCTAATAGCACCTAAGTGTTAGAAAAAAATAGATTATAACAGATAACCTAGAGACAGATCGGTTAAGAGGGCACCTTTATTGCAGATACTTGTTCTGTCTCAGACCTTCTCCCCCTCCCCCCTGAGTGAACAACAAAGTAGCCATATGTATACCTTTTTATCTTAAAATGTAAATACACTTACCAATTACATCATCCTTTAAGCCCTAATTTAGTACTGTGAACACCCATATAATGCATAATCATAACCATGTAATGACTATAATTATACTCGCCCCTATTTACTGTTTACAGCTTTTTAGTTGATGTAAACCGTTCTCACATCACAACTCCTTAAATCAGCAGTTTACGGGGAGGGAAGGATATGTGATCCTGAATATGTTTGAGTGAATTGGAATGGATAAGCGCTAGAGAAATACTATTTATTTAACACACAGAGCATTCATTAAAAGTTATATCTTTGGTATAAGCTACATTATCTGTCCCAAGAATGCAGGAAAGGAGGAAAACATGTCTATAAATAAATAGGGACAGTGCCTGCCCATACTGTATTCCAGTTACCATGTTAGTGAGTACCCAAACCCCTTATTTTAGGGGTGTGCTACCCTTGGGTCTGTCCTCCTGGGGGGGATCACAGCGCCAGGCCAGCTGCCATTTCCTGTCTCAGCGCCTGATGTATGTGTGACAGGGTCAGGAGGAGTGACAGGGGAGTAG